CCCTTGCAAGCTCTGCAGCACCGAGCGATCACCTGCTGCCTCTGAGTCATCAGCCGGCACCGGCTGCCTCTGGCCGCATCCTGCAGCGACGCGGGATCCGTCCCTGCACCCTGCCTGCATCCTGCATCCTGTGTCCCTGCACCCTGCCTGCATCCTGCATCCCTGCACCCTGCCTGCATCCCCGCATCCTGCATCCCCACATCCTGCATCCCTGCACCCTGTGTCCCTGCATCCTGCATCCCTGCACCCTGCCTGCATCCTGCATCCCTGTGCCCTGCCTGCATCCCCGCATCCTGCATCCCCACATCCTGCATCCCTGCACCCTGCCTGCATCCTGCATCCCTGTGCCCTGCCTGCATCCCCGTATCCTGCATCCCCACATCCTGCATCCCTGCACCCTGCCTGCATCCTGCATCCCTGTGCCCTGCCTGCATCCCCGTATCCTGTGTCCCTGCATCCTGCATCCCTGCACCCTGCCTGCATCCTGCATCCCCACATCCTGCATCCCTGCACCCTGTGTCCCTGCATCCTGCATCCCCGCACCCTGCCTGCATCCTGCATCCCCGTGCCCTGCCTGCATCCTGCATCCCTGTGCCCTGCCTGCATCCCCGCATCCTGTATCCCTGCATCCTGCATCCCCGCATCCTGCATCCCTGTGCCCTGCCTGCATCCTTGCATCCTGCATCCTCATGTCCTGCATCCCCACATCCTGCATCCCCGTGTCCTGTATCCCTACATCCTGCATCTTGCCTGCATCCTGCATCCCTGCATCCCCATGTCCTGCCTGCATCCCCACATCCTGCATCCCTGTGTCCTGTATCCCTGCATCCCTGCATCCTGCATCCCTATGCCCTGCCTGCATCCCTGCATCCTGTATCCCTGCATCCTGCATCCCTGCATCCTGCATCCCCGCATCCTGCATCCCTGTGCCCTGCCTGCATCCCCACATCCTGTGTCCCTGCATCCTGCATCCCTGTGCCCTGCCTGTATCCTGCATCCTCGTGTCCTGTATCCCTGCATCCTGCATCCCCGCATCCTGCATCTCTGTGCCCTGCCTGCATCCCTGCATCCTGCATCTTGCCTGCATCCTGCATCCCTGCATCCCTGTGCCCTGCCTGCATCCCTGCATCCTGCATCCCCGTGTCCTGTATCCCTGCATCCTGCATCCCTGTGCCCTGCCTGCATCCCTGCATCCTGTGTCCCCACATCCTGCATCCCTGCATCCCCATGTCCTGCCTGCATTCCTGCATCCTGCATCCCTGCATCCTGCATCTAGTCTGCATCCTGCATCTAGTCTGCATCCTGCATCCCTGCATCCTGCCTGCATCCCTGCATCCCCACATCCTGCATCCCTGCACCCTGCATCCCTGCATCCCCACATCCTGCATCCCTGCATCCTGCCCGTGTCCCCACCATGGCATGGACCATCCTCGCTCCCTCTGGGGGTGGGAAGC